CTGCCTATGAACTGAGAAGGCAGACCATGAAGATGGATGCACCCAAGAAAGAAAGAAGCCTTGCTCTTAGAATCGCTGAAGGTGCAGATCTAGAGGAAGATGAAATGGCCATGATCCCGAGGGACTTCAAGAAGTATCTAATGAGAGGAAAGGGTTCTTCAAGAGGTGCAACTTACAACAAACCAAGGGTCCCTGAGAAACAGACCAACGAGCGCTATTACAAATGTGGTAAGACTGACCACATAATCAAAAACTGTCCTCAATGGGAAATTGAGTGGAAGAAGGAAAGAGCTGGGGAGAAAGGATCAACCAAGGCTATGGTTGCTGCCTGGGGAGAAAGCTCAGATGAGGATTTAGAAGATGAAGATGGAGATGAACAAACACGTGTGGCCATTGGAGAATCAGATGATGAACAAGAGGTAAGTGTGATTCATCTCAAAGACAAGATTAAATTTTTGTCTAAAGAAAGGCTATCTGAGTTACTGCTAGATTTCATTGATGAGTCTCAAGTCATAAACAATGAAAAGGAACAACCGTCTAAGGAATGTGTAATCTTGAAAGCTAAGTGCAAAAATCTGGAACTCAGGGCTAGTGAAAGTGATAGTAAAAATACTGAGTTGAAGAACTAGGTTCTTGAACTTGACACCACTGTGTTAGAGCTTAGATTTGAAAATTTAAAACTGAAATTAGGAACAGGTACAAAGAAAGTTGATAACATACACCTCACCTTAGAAGAAAATTTAGGAAAAAAAAGGATGAGTTATACAAAAAGGATGAGTAGATAAGAGTCCTAAAAGAAGATCTAGGCAAGGTTAAGCATGAACTAGACAGAACTTGCAAATGGAATAAGTCCTCTGATGCACTATCTTGGCTACAAGAACATCACAGTAGCAATAACAGAGGACTTGGCTATGGGACCCCTGCACCTAAGTGGGATCCCAAAAGCAAGTACATCACACTTCCTGAGAATAAAATCTGCACACATTGTGGTAAGGCTGGTCACTTCAAAAGTGAATGTAATGCAAAAGAAAAGGCCAGTCAAAAGAACAAAAACTTTGTTCAAGGGAAAAATAGGCTGCCAGCTAAAAAAAAAATTAAATCACCTGTTTGCCTATAGAAAGGGACCCAAACTAGTTTGGGTTCCTAATACTAACCCCTGATTTACGCTTGCAGGTCAAAGTGAAGGGAAGCAGACAAATATAGTACATGGATAGTGGTTGCTCAAAGCATATGACTGGAAGCAAGAACCAGTTCCTTTCACATGAGGACCTAAAAGGAGGTAATGTCTCCTTTGGAAATGGTAAGAAAGGTGAGATCATAGGGGTTGGAAAGGTAGGTAAGACAGACTCACATTCCATTGAGAATGTCTACTTGATAGACAGCTTGAAATATAGCCTAATCAGTGTATCACAACTGTGTGACAGAGGTAACTTGGTAGCATTCACCTCTACCAAATGTTTTGTGATAAATCTTACCACTACAAGATTGTTTTGCAGGGAAAAAGAGTAAATAATATATACATTGTAGATATTTCCACTCTTTCAGAAAATGAACTCACTTGCTTAAGTGTGTTGGACAATGATCCCCTCCTTTGGCACAAAAGACTTGGACATGCAAGTCTAAGTCAACTCAATAAATTAGTCTCCAAGGACGTGGTGATAGGGCTACCTAAAATCAAGTTTAAGGAAGACAAAGTTTGTGAGGCCTGTGCAAGGGGGAAGCAGGTAAGATCCTCTTTTAAAAGCAAAAAAGTGGTAAGCACGACTAGGTCGATGGAACTAGTTCATATGGATCTCTGTGGTCCAATAAGAACATTAAACAGAGGTGGTAAAAAATATGTGATGGTGCGTAGTGATGATTACTCTAGGTTTACTTAGGAATTGTTTTTAACATCTAAGGATGAAGCATTTGACATGTTCACTGCCTTTGTTAGAAAAACTCAGAAACAACTAGGTAATCAACTTGCATCAATTAGGTCTGATCATGGAACTGAATTTGAAAATGCTGTTTGCTGAATTTTTTGATGAGCATGGTATAGATCATAATTTTTCTGGCCCTAGGACTCCTCAACAAAATGGAGTAGTTGAAAGAAAGAATAGGACTCTTGAAGATATGGCTAGGACTATGCTTCTTTCTAGTAAACTACCCCATAGCTTCTGGGCAGAAGCTGTAAACACTGCATGTTACATCATTAATAGGTGCATGACTAGACCTCTTGTAGAGAAGACTCCCTATGAGTTACTTAAAGGGAGAAAACCAAATATATCCCATCTTAGGACATTTGGATGCAATTGCTTTGTGCACAACAATGGAAAGGACTCCCTAGGTAAGTTTGATCCCAGAAGCGATGAGAGAGTATTCTTGGGATATTCTTCACATAGCAAAGCTTATAAAGTGTACAAAAAAAGAACTATGTGTGTAGAAGAAAGTGTACATGTAGTTTTTGATGAAACTAACATTCTTTCTGAGAGACAGGAACATGAAGATGAAGCTATTGGGCTGGTAAAAGAGTTAAATGAAGTCACAGCCCAAGCTGAAGCTGCACCAGAAGAAGGAACAGGTGATGGAACAGGTTCTTCCGTCCAGGGCAACCTGACAGGGGGAACTGAACAAAGAAGAACTTAATCTAATCCCTTAATGGAACCCGTCCAAGAGCATGTTCCTCGGCAACAAAACATGGGAGAAACATCAAACAGAATCCAGTTGGTTGTGAAACCTTACAAGTATCAAAGTTCTCATCCCATTGAGAACATAATTACTGATCCAACCTCTAGAATTAAAACTAGATCTCAATTAAAGAATCTGTGTGCCTTTGATGCTTTCTTATCTCTTATTGAACCTAAAAATGTTGCTGAGGCTTTGCAGGATGCAGACTGGGTAAATGCAATGCAAGATGAACTCAATCAGTTTGAAAGAAGTCAAGTTAGGCATCTGGTTCCAAGGCCCAATGACAGATCAGTAATTGGCACTAAATGGGTCTTCAGAAACAAACTTGATGAAGATAGAACTGTTACAAGGAAGAAGGCAAGGTTGGTGGTTCAAGGTTATAACCAGGAAGGCATAGGCTATGATGAGACCTTTGCTCCAGTCGCAAGATTGGAAGCAATAAGACTCCTAATAGCCTTTGCAGCACACATGGAATTTAGTCTTCACCAGATGGATGTCAAGAGTGCTTTCTTAAATGGCTACTTAAAGGAAGAAGTGTTTGTCAAACAACCTCCAGGGTTTGAAAGCAAGGAGTGTCCGGATCATGTATACAAACTAGACAAGGCTCTCTATGGACTCAAGCAGGCTCCTAGAGCATGGTATGAACGACTATCCAAATTCCTGCTTGAACATGGCTACAAGAGAGGTAAAATTGAGAGCACTCTATTTTTGAGGAAAAAAGGTAAGGATTTTCTTGTAGTACAAATATATGTTGATGACATAATTTTTGGGGCAACCACTGAAAAACTACGTAAGGAATTTGCTAAACTTATGGGGAGTGAATTTGAAATGAGTATGAAGGGTGAGCTTAATTTCTTCTTAGGCTTACAATTAAATAAAACCCAAATGGAACCATGATCCATCAGCAGAAATATGCAAAAGAGTTGATTAAGAAGTTTAAAATGGAAGAATCAAAGGAAATAGACACTCCTATTGCAATAACCACAAAATTAGAAATAGATGAACCGGGTTCATCTGTTGATCAGAAGTTATATAGGGGTATGATTGGTTCACTTTTGTATCTTACTGCTAGCAGACCTGACATTGTTTTCAGTGTAGGGCTTTATGCTCGATTTCAAGCAAATCCAAAGGAATCCCACTTGACTGCTATCAAGAGAATATTGAGATACTTGAAAAGCACTACTGACCTTTGTCTTTGGTATCCAAAAGGTAGTAACTTTAACCTAGTGGGATATACTGATGCTGACTATGCAGGTTTCCTTGTGGATAGGAAGAGCACCTCAGGAATGACACACTTCCTTGGTTCATGTCTTGTATCACGGGCTACTAAAAAGCAAAATTCAGTGGCCTTATCCACTGCTGAAGCTAAGTATGTTGTTGTTGCTTTCTGTTGTGCTCAATTGATGTGGATCAAACAGCAGTTGATGGATTTTGGAATTAAAGTTGGTTGCATCCCTATTTTCTGTGATAACACTAGTGCTATTAGTATGACTAAGAACCCGGTTCATCATAAGAGAACTAAGCACATAGATTTTAGACACAATTTTTTTAGGGAAACTATGAGAACGGACTGATTACCATAGAATTTTGTGCTACTGATAAACAGATTGCTGACATCATCACAAAAGCACTAAGTAGGGAGCACTTTGAAAGGACAAGTTAGAATTAGGGATAATTAAGATCACCTAATGGGACCAGTTCAGAATGCACAATGAAAAAAAATTGAAAAAAAACTTTTTTGGTTAGAAAATCTGGAACTTGTGTAAATATCTAGATTAATCTTTGCTCAGTCTCATACTGTAAATAGTGTACTCCTGTGACATGTGTTGATATGACTCACTGATCTCTAACAAAATTTTCTCTATTTTGGTAAATTGAGGCATGATCAAGAGGATTCTTAGTGAAGAACCTGGTTCATCAGTACTAATTCATCTGAATAACGAGGTATGTTTTCTACACTCTGCACAATTAAAAATATTAATATTTAATTCATGAGCAGAGTCCTACCTATGTTCAAAAACATCAGAAAAACCTATCCTTTTGCATTTGGACCAGTTCCGTCCCAAACTAGAATCCTCACCGTGTTAGAATGCCTAGATACTAGGGAAGCCTAACCGTCTATTCAAACTAAAATTTCAGGGTGATTAGACTCATATTTGACTACTAAAAGTTGCCGTTGTGTATTAAATACACCTTCTCCTTTAAATTCATCATCATCACCACTACCACTCTTCCAAAATTTCCATAACAGTTGAAATTTTCTCTCTTCTCTTCTCTTCGCTTCGAAAAAAAAATTCTCTACACCCATCCCCTTTCTCATTGAATTAGCAAAAATGACTAACCCCCAAGATAACCCAGGCACTCCTCCACAACCTACACCCTCTGATTACTTCCCCCCTCCTCAACCCAGCACAAACCCCCAACCTAGGAGAAGGCGAGTGAAGATGCTTGCTCGCAAAACTGTAGCTACAGGTGCGCTTTTAAAGAAACCGAACGCCAAATTAAAGGCTAGCCAAGCACAAGATTCTGAAAACTCAGATGACTCCTTCAAATCTGCAAGTGAGGGGGAAGGAACTGGGTCTTCTGATTCTAAGAAGGCTCAAAATCCCCCTTCTGAGGTACGTTCTGTTCTAGTTGAAAATTTAGACAATAGGTTTGTTCTAGTTGGGTCTGTTAGGAATGTGGAAATGCCTGAGTCAAGAAGGAGAGGAGTTAAAAATAAAAGTGAAAACGAAAAGGAGAGTGAGGGTGTGAGTAGTGATGTGAGGGGAAAAGGGAAGGAAGTGGCTAATTCCTCACCCACTTCTGAAATGGTTAGACCGGCTATTTGTGGGGCTGAACATGAAAATGTGGAAGACAGTAGCAAGAAAACAGGGGGAAGTGGTTCAAGGGAGGCTGCTGAAGGGTTGGTTAACCTCAGTTCACAAGCAGATGAACCTGGTTCATCAATTGAGGAGACCCTAGCAGACCTTCTGAAGAAAGTGGCCGCAAGCTATAATCCAAAAAAAAGGACAACCTTAACACCAAAAGCCCCCAGCACTGCAAAAACTACCAAGAAAAGGAAGGCTACTTCTCCAACAACTACTGAGATTCCTCTAGCAAAAGGAAGGGCCACAAGGAGTAAGTTGAAGCAGAGTGAGGAGGAGTTATAAAGGCTATGGCGGAAAGCAAGAAGAAGAGAATGGACAAAGGTAAAGCTAAGGTTGCAGAGCCTACTGAGGCTGTTGATGTGGATGAGATGGAAGGTCCATCAAGATGAACATATGACTGTGGATGTGGAGGTTTAGACCCCTAAGCCAAAGAAAACCAAGACTTCTTCCAAGAAGTCTTCATCTGTTTCTAAGGCTGTTGAACCTTCTTCATTGGCTAAACGAACAAGGTCCGCTGTGAGCCAAGCAAGTTAAAATTACTGAAGAAGAAGATTGGAGTGGTGAAGAAGAGGGTGAATCTGACTATGAACAAGATAAGCTGGCCAAGTTTAGCAAAAGAAAAATCTTGAAGGGTAGACTTTTGAAGGATTTGGTGGAACCAGGGATGGTTCAATTTGCTGATGCTCCAGCTGCTCAGGGCTGGAAGGACATGGTCCTTCAATTGGATAGCAGGCTAGCAAGGAATGAGGTTATTGAGTTCATGGCCAATGCAGAGGTCAAGGATGGTAGAGTTACCAGTCAAGTGAAAGGGGTTCAAGTGACGTTTGATGCAAAGGAGCTGGCTGACATCCTTGACATCCCTTCTGAAGGGTATGATGACTATACGAGGCAAAGATGGCCAAGTCTGGACTCCCTTCCTACTGCCCTTGCATTCACTAGGAAATTCTGTGATGTCACAGAAGTGAATGAGGCCAATGTTGTGCAGAAGAGTGAAATGAAACCATGCCACAAACTCTTGTTTGAATTTATCAACAAGTGTTTGCTTCCTAGGCAGGAAAGAAGACACATTGCTAATTATATGGATTTGGTTTTGATGGAGTGCCTTGAAAGTGGAAGGCAGATCAACTGGCCTGCATTTATTATCAAGCTACTGGATAGGGTTGTAAATGGCTCCAAGGCCCATGCCACTCCTTATGGGTTTATTCTGACTACTGTTCTTGATCGTTGCAAGGTGCCACTAAAGAAGTGGGAGATGGACACAAGCAAAGACCATTTTGAAATCAACACTTTGATTAATTGTGACTATGAGGTCACTGCCATTCCCAATGAACCTGGTTCATCTAAAAGGACACCTATCAATAGCAAGGTCAGAGCTCTAGTGCAGGAGAGTGGGACAAAGGATGCTGAGATAGCTAGGTTGAAGGCTCGCTTAGTAGAGGTTAAATCAGAGAGAGATGCTCTCAGAACTGAGCTCACAAAGGAAAAGGAGAAGAATGATGGCATTCTTCAAGACATGATGCACCTTCTCCAAGCCAAGACCCAACCCTCTAGTTCTTCCAAGCCTTAAGTTCTTTAGCCTTCATCTCCTAAACCTTGTCTAGACCTTTCAGTGACCCAGATTAGGGATTTTTCTTGTTTTGCTCATGTTTTGACTGTTTTTGTTTCTTTTTGTGGATTATGGTAGCATCATATTCTCTATCAATGAAGTTTGCTGTTTTTGCTCTTGTTGACTGTTTATATTTCCTAGATAGCTTGAATTTGTTTGGTTGATTACTGATGATTAATCCATGATTGCACTTGCAGTTGCCCCAGTGGCCATGAGTAATTTTTAAAATTCTAGGAATCACATTGTGTTTATGCAACTTTTCGGTGATGCCAAAAGGGGAAAGAGATATTGTGTTTTATATTCTGAATAAGTGATGTTTATAACCTAATGAACTTGGTCCTTGATGATAAGTGAAAAATTTCTACCTTTGCATTGATGAATAAGCTGAGTTTTGACAGGGCCTAAGTAAGTGAAAAGCACAGAGTTTGTCATCATCAAAAAGGGGGAATTTCTTGGCCCAAGTAAAGGAGTGTTTTGAAGATTGACAAAGGAACTCAGATATGGACCAGGTCCATCCTAGTGAAGCACGGATATGGTCAACTCAAGCATGTGAGATGCACGTGAAGGAGATAAACCTAACTTACCAGAAGTGATATCTCCTGATCCTGATCGAAAAGATTGCATATCGGATAAGGAGAAAGACTCCTTACTCAAAGAGAACACGGCTTAAGAGAAGGATAGAGTTAGAGGTTGAGATCAACTAGAACTCTTCCACCAAGGAAGAGTAGCATCAGAATTCTAGTCAATCTGTATTTACTAACTCCATAAATAGCAAGGCAATAATTCAAGCAATTTGTGTGTGATTCAAGCGTGCAAACCTGAAGCTACTTGAACCAAATAGAAGAACCAGTTCCAAGTGTCTGTCTTTTATTCTAGTTCAATTGTAGTAGGTGGTTTCATATTGTACCTTTCAGCTTATCTAGAAGCAATTGTATTAGATACTCAGAGTTTTTCAAGTTAGAGTTAACTTTAATTTGTCGCAACAGTTGAGACTGTGTGCTACAATGGGATTAGAGTTAATCCTAGGTTTACAAAAGAGTTTTTGTAAATGCAGTTTTTGGCTCAGTGATTTTAGTGGAGAGTTTGGGAAAATCCTACTGGAAAGTAGGCCGTGGTTTTTTCACCTTTTGAGCTAGGTGTTTTCCACGTAAAATCTCCGTGTTCCTTAATTTTTGTACTTATTATTTCGCAACAGTAGTAGTTGGAACATATAGAAGAACCAGGTCCTTCTATAATCAGGTTAAGCGAAAAATTGGGCACCACACAAATCACCTCCCCTCTTGTGTGGTATTGAAGTATAAAACATCAGTACTCATGCTACACTTCTGTACTTCTAGTGCAGATACTGATGTTGGTCCCAATGGTGTCTAGTGGTGCTTCCGCTCGGATCATATCTACAACGGAGACTTGAGGTAGAGCTGATGGCGTTCGCAGTCCCTGAAGTCCCATTCTATTTCTGTCTTCACTGTTTATTTCATTTCAAATATTGTATTTCGTTCAAACCATATTTGTACTATTCTAGTTGCTCATGCACATGTGACTCCAGATTTCAGGGATTAGGCTAGACCGTGTTATATTATGGGTTTATCTTATGTATTACTGCTTTATTAATCGTTAATAATTGCTATTACTATGGTTTAAGTTGTTGAAATAGTTAATTGGTTATCTCATGCTGGCTTGCCTAGCAAATAAATATTAATCGTTATCACGATCTCAATGTTTGGAATCCGGGTCGGAACACGAGTGGGTCTAGTAGCAGTGCTAATAGATGAATCTGCACAAAGTTGTAAATGATTGGGTGAGCTAACGCCTAGTAAGATCACTGACTTGCCCCTATCATGTGGAGCTAGTCTTCATAATATCATGCACATCATGAACAAGGTATACTACATAAATCGCAAAAAATTTAATGTGCATAAATGAGGCAGTAGTAAACTATTCATTTCACTATATCAGTAAGTCTATCGCATGGTGCCACCTTACGTTGCATCAGAGCGTCGTCCATAGTGCACAATGTTACCTGAGTTGAACTATGCGTTTCCGTCGTCCATCCATAGCCAACACTTACCTCATAATATGCTCGACCAATTGTGAGCCTCATAATAATGCTAGCACCATCTCATCTTTTCAATCTAAAGTACATAAGACATACTCCTCCGTTCCAGTTGACGTGAACCTTTTTTCTTTTTGGTCTGTTCTAAAAAGAATGACCACTTTCTAAATTTGGAAATAATTTAACTTAAACTTCCAATTCTACCCTTAATGAGAAACTTTTGTAACCACACAAATACTCTAGACCCCTTTTTGATTTGTTTAGGACCACAAATTTTAGAAGTTTTCATATTTTTTTGAACTCCGTGCCCAATTAAATAGGTTCATATAAATTGAAACGGGGGAGTACAATTAAATCCTACAATATCAACTTTTATATATATA